CTCTCGCAGTCCCTGCNCATCACTGTGGCCGCGGCGGGGTTGCAGTCGCTACAGCAAATGGTGACGGGCGGCTCCGGGCCGAGGTCCAAGGGTGGCAGCACGCCGACCGCGGCGCCGGATGTGTCCTACCTGTACCGCAGGCGGCAAAGTCGCGTGGTTGGCATTCCGCAGCTGACCGTTGGGCAACCGCGCAGCGACCACCATCACCACCGCCACCGCTCCGACCTGCGGCGTAGCACAACGCGCCTGCTGGCGAGCTATCACGGGGGACTGCGAGGGCATGCATCGCAGAAGGCCTTGTCGTTGGAAAGCCAGGAGGGCCAGGTGTGTGGGGGTGGGTGGGGAGGTCGGTGGGCGGTGGCGGGATGTATCGGCACTCGAGGGGTGTTCCGTGTGTTTAGGTGTGCATGTGTGTCGATGTGTGCATTGCGTTAAACGTGTGAGGTACCTGCGCCAGGCCGAGGCCATGGGATCGTCATCGTGTTGGACGAGATGTGGGTCATTCAGTTTGAAATTGTGTCAAGCGAGCTATCCAATCCTCATACCTCCTGATCGTATCATCAGGATTAGAATAGCGAATAGCTATCATCAGGATTAGAATAGCGGATATCCCCTATCGCATAGGGACCTCCTGGGAGGTGTGGGGAGGCATTTAGGGTTTGATTACTATCGTGATAGGGATCCTGTGGGAGGACTGTATGAAAGCTATAGACCGCCATGGTTGACGCGTGTTGTGTGATCGTGGCAGCCGGCCCGCACGGCCCAGGTCGCACTGCTTAGGTGCACCGGTTATCCATCGCCCATGGAGCATGTGTGTCACCACGCGCACGTGGCTCGCGTCAGGTCTTCCCTCACTGTTCGTGCAGGGGTTGGAAGCAGGTACCAGCGCTGGCAGCGGCATTGTGAGTCAGCGGTCAAGCTCGGGTATGGGACAGCCGTCGGAAGATATTGACAGCAGGTGGGTTGGTCGGTGGACAAGTATCTAAGACGCTTTGAGGACGGGCAGTCAAGATATTTCGACGATCCTACTAGGCATTTACAATCTATACATCTACTTATATGTTTACTTCTAATGTATGAGATGTGAACACTGCCCTTTTCTATTTAAGGCGGCTTAGGATGAGGAGTTAATGTTCCCTCTGACCTGAAATGATTTTGCCCTTCACTGCCCTTATTGATATCGGCTTCGTGGGGTTGTGCCGATTGTGTCTTCCCGCCCTTGCTGACACTCTGGACTTGTCATTCCGCATAGTAGGTCGACCAGTCCCACGACCAGCAGTGCGCTGTACGGCGTGAACAGCGCAGACGGCGACTTCCACATGAGTCGCCACCTGCACGGTACTGCCATAGAGGTCCGCCAGCGCGCCAACTCCATGGGCACCGTCGCGAACGGCAGCAGCACCGCTCTCGCAACGGCCCCCGCGCCGCCCTTTGGCCGGGCACTAGCGCGCCGCGGCAGCTCTGGAAACGCGGCTGATGCCCAGTCGCTGGGCGGCACCAGCACCGGGGACACGCCGGAGACGGACACGGACTCGTATGCACACGGCGGCAGGAGCTTGGACATGGTTCCGGAGCAGGTGAGGAGAGGCCGCCGCCAGGGTAAGAGCAGACGTGTACGGCACATGTGTGGTGTGGTGAGCACGTGTGTCCTGTTGGCGAGAGAGAGAGAGCGCACAGTGGGCGGATTCGGACTGATGGACTCTTCACTCTTGCGTCATTTATTTGCGTAGATGACGGTGGCTGCGTGATGTCTGCGTGTGCGTGCGGATGTGCCCCGCGATTCGACGCTCGTCATTTCGGTCTGTGTCCTCGGAAAGTTGTCCATCAGCGCTGCTGGTACACCCTTGACTTGGGTGGGAATAGTAAAATAGTGCAGTGGCTGTGGTTACGACCGAGTGGCCTCATTACGACTGACTCGGCTGTCAACCCCGGACCCCGCAGAGCGAGGAGTCGCTTGGAACCCCAAGTCCTTCCTCCCGCCATGCACATCATCCGATGGCCACGGCTCACCAGCTTCCTCCATACACTGCCATGGCGACCAACACGGCTGGCACCATCGGTGGCGTCGGCGGTGTTCCGCATCCTCACGTGTACGACCTGGATAGCCGCGACATCGCCGGAATCTCCCTCATGGTGGCACAGGTAAAAATGGCCCTGGGGGCAAGACCGCGTTGGCTTCTGTGCCGTAAGGGAGATTTGTTGCCCCACGGCCAAAGTACCGTGTATGCACTTTGTCCTCATGTTGCAAGTGAGGCGCACGGTGGACTCTTAAGTCAGGTGCTCAGTTGTCTTGTTCAAGTATTCAGATATAAAAGTGTAACACAGGTGTAGTTTGTTTTGCACGCTGAAGAAGATCCTTTTTTTATCAGCGTGATCTTTGCTTGATCGAGCGCCGTCACATTAACGGTTATCTGATATCCTGCTTGCGTCTGCATGTGCATGGCGTGTGCTGTCGAGCATGCGCATGCAGAATACGTCGACGGGGTTTCATTGTATGTTGCTCTTGGCTCTCGCCTTTTTCTCTCCCTCTCAGATGAAGTCGCCAACGGGGCCAGCAGCGTTGCCGCCACGGCTAAGCAGGCTTGCGCAGCAGACGCCTGGCAGTGGGGCAGTAATCGCTGCCGCACGGGACGACAGGCTGGCCGAGGCTGTGGGGTCATCTGTCTCCACCATGGATTCCTCCTATACTGCTGAGGCCAGCGTCAGCAGCGAGCTCTCACCCTCGGGAATCGTCACAACAAGCCCTGGTAAGGATTCCTCGGGCCACAGGGTGGTTTCGGAGCTGCCACTTGGGAACTCCAGGGCATTAACATGGCAGGCTTCTGGGTACGCGGGATCCATATCCTCCTCGGGACGCGGCGTTACACACGCCAGGGCTTCTACTCCAAAGGCCTTTAAGGCCTGGCACTTAAAGGCGTCGCGTCCAAGGAGAACATGAAATCCGCGCGCGAGCAAGAGGGGGGATATGAGTTGGGCGAGCTGGATGAGTGAGGGATGCATCTGGGTTGGCTCTCGTTAAGGCTGCGCTAGGTGATGTCCCAAATGGGCAGCGATACCGGGGGAGGCTTTTGGGATCTCCGACGCTTGTGGCCTGTAGGTCACAGCAAAGCTCTACCCCTTGCCGTCTTATGCGCCGGCTTTTGCTTTTTCGATTATCTCTGGTTGACTTAAGAACACGGGGCCGGCTATTTCGCTGACGTGGTTTTCTTCTTTGCTTGTCCCTCTCTTACGAATCGCGCATCTTGGGGAAACCCCTGCGGTTCTGCTGTCTGTCCTTACTCGAATGCCCTGCTCGCTGCTGGTGGCGCTACCGGAGACGGCCGTAAGTCTATGGTGGTTCCCTCGCTTGCAGGCATGCCTCATGGTGTGCAGCTGCCCTACACAATTTCTGAGGCGCTGCCGCCCATCTCACCACCGGCGCCACAGCAGCAGCATCTGCCTTTCGCCGCTCACCACACAATGCCGCCCCCGCAGCAGCAGTACCAGCCCCAACCTCAACACCAGCCCCAATATCAACACCAGTACCAACTCCAGCAGCATCAACATCCACTCCAGCCTCAACACCAGCAGCTCACAACTTTGCAAGCTAGCACTTTGCCGCCGCCGCAGCAGCCCCAACAGCCACAAGCGTGGCAGACCTCCCTAGGGCCGATTCTGACGACTCAGGAGCCTATGGCGAGGGCGCAGGTAGCGGCGATGGCGGCTGGCGGCCCCGGGCCCGGCCCTTCCGGTCCTGGCAACAGCACGGGACGCAGCAGGGAGAGCAGCGCTTCCATGTGGGCTCCACCGCTGCCAATAGCAGTTGGGGGAGTTGCAAGCGGTCACGGCGCCATGCGTGCGTACGGCATGCACTCCGACGGCGCAGCGGCAGCGGTCGCCAACGCTGCCGTCGCCGTCGCTGGGCCCCATGCTGCTGCTGTGAACATGCCCGTTGGGCCAGGCTTGCATTCGGGCGGCTCACGAGGTTCGCGTGGACATTCCCGCCATGCGTCGTACGACAGCATTGACGTAAACTCGAGGGACGGTGACGGCGTCAGCCAACGCGGTAACAGCGGGGGTGTCGGCGGCGGTGCTGCCGTGGACGCACGTGCAACACCGTTTGTGTTGTACGGCGGCGGTGCCGCAGCCACCGCGCCGCCGCCACCGGCGCCGCTGCAGCGGATTGCCGCCGACCCAACCTCTGACTTGTTGCAGCAGAATTTGCAGCTCCAAAGGGAGTTGGAGCTCTTAAGACAGCAAGTGGCGCTATTCACCCAAGTAACGGGGCTGGCCCCCGCCGCTCTTGCGGCTGCCGGCATGTCGCCGACAAACACCCACGCCTACTCTGCACAGCATCCCACCATGCTAGCGCCGCCTCCGCAGCCTCAGCCGGTCCCACCCTCGACCCTGCAGCAGCAGCTGTCGCCGCCGGCGCAGCAGCAGCAGCAGCAACATCAACAACAACAAATCTCAGCTGTCGTTATGGCCGGTGTTGGCGGCGGCGCTGGCAGCTTGCCGCCACATCCAGGCAGTGTTGCACCGCAGGCTGCCGCACTCTTCCGCAACGCAGCCGTCAGTCACGGGGCGGGTAGCGGTGGGCAGGCCGCGTTCGTACACACGGCGTCGCAGCAGCAGCAACAGCAGCAGCAGCAGCAGCAACAGCAGCAACAGCAGCATGCGATGCTTTCCCACGCCCACAGCGCTTGCACGGGGCCCACAGCAACTGGAGGAGTGTCTGTGTCTCCGTCGGCCCATGGCTTCACGGCGGGCGGGCACGCGAACCTATGGGCCGAGGCGGCGTCGGGCTCGAACAGCACATCGGATAGACAGCAGGTTGTTCGGATGGGTTTCTTCGGGCCTGACCACTTGTTTGACCTACGTTACAAGAAGTGGTAATTTCGCATTCATGGCATTCGTTAGGGCGCAGGCGGGTAGGTCTGATGCTGAAATCGTCTTCCCGCTGTTCAGCGGCCGCGTGTGAACTGTACCGTTCAGCGCCCCGCCAGGGGGTCCGTAGCGCCGACAGGAGCGCAATTAATACCGTTTTTTGTCCGTTCGGCGTCCGCGTTCCCCGCTGAAGCTGCCTTCGTTGCACAGAAGCCGCCGTGCTTCATGTAGCTCACCCGTCCTATTTGACCCTATCTAACCCTTTTATCTAAACCGTGGGTGGCCACTTCAGGGGAGTCTTGCGGCTGTGGCAGGGCCAGGGGCTCCTCCAGGGCCCATGTCAGCGCCGCCGTCGTCCAATCGCCACAAGCGGTCTGCTTCGATTGACGTGTCCTCCCTGATTGCGACGCGGGACGGCATAGGGCCCGCGAAGGACTACCTGGCGCCGGCGGCCTCACAGTCGCCGGCGGCTGCCAGCCATGCGCCTCAGGGCCACCTGTCGCCAGAACGTCGGTCGCCCCTGGCGCGAGATGGCGGCACTGGCACCGGCACTGGCACTGGCAATTTCATGATGGGACATAAGACCGCACCGCCGGCGTTGGAGGCCTTGCGCCAGAATCACCCCGGCATGTCGTTGGCCCAAGCGGTGAGAGACTATGGTGTGGTGGATGGATGTCGTTCATGAGAGGAAAGATGATTTTCAAACCCCCGAAATTGAAAACTAAGGAATAGTCAAGGAGTCGAGCGCGTGGTGGCAGGGTGTGGCATTGCTAAAATGTTATTGCGCTCTGTGTTACCACAAAAGCTGGGGGATTGAGGAATATTCCCGCGTTTCAATTCCGACGTGGCTGCCTTCCTTCTGCGTGGTAAGGAATATTTGACATCAGGTAACCTGCATGCACCTGCATGCAACGGTAGCGGAGAAGAACGGTGTCCCCCGTCCTCGGACACAGCGTTGGGGGTTCATCGCTTAGATGTGTTTCGCATGGCCTTCCCTCACGCCCTGCCCTGTCTTCTTCTAATGCACGCTTCCTATTAACATGCCGACTGTCATGTCTTAGGCTTTGGCGGAGTTTGAGGAGGAGGTGTTGGAAGAGGGGTATGATGAGGACGACGAGGAGCCTGAAGACGACGAGGACGGCGACGGGGGGGAGATGGAGCCGGCCGTGGACGAGTCGTTGAATTCCGCAGCCGGCATTGATAGGCTGGGCTCCGTCATCTTGTCTGTGGCCCTGCCGCTGGCGGCGCAGGGCTCCCTGCATCGGCAGATGTACGTGTCACAGCAGCAGCGGCCGCCGCTGACGATGACGCCCACGCAGCCCCAGCAGCCCCAGCAGCAGGCACCAGCGGCGGGCTGCAGTCCTCCAAACCACATTGGCCATGTCCCATACGAGGTGAGCTAAAGCACTGCGCGACGGTTACCTTCTCTCGTTGCCTCACTAGCTGTCGTACCGTACCCGTCGCATACCGTTGCAGCGATATTGACAGAGTGTATAGACTGTAACCATTTGACGGCTAATGCTGAT